CAATGGTTTCATCTCCACAGTACAGCATTTCTAAGTGGCTCTGTGTTATTCTCGGGGTCGTACAAAGTTATTACTGTACGCGCACAGTGAAAGACAGTTTCCAGTTTGTAGATATCTTGCGCTCTCATCAGGTTCCCGCTAGTGCTCATATGTGTTCATTTGACGTAGTATCATTGTTCACGAACGTACCATTGGATGAGACAATCGATATTTGTGCTGATGTACTGTATCGAAATGATTCGGTAGATACTCCTTGGTTGTCGGAGACAGCCTTCCGTAAGTTAATGTCCTTGGTCACTACTGGCGTAGAGTTCTCGTTCAACGACATAATGTATCGGCAGGTGGACGGTGTGGCCATGGGGTCCCCCCTTGGACCCGTTTTGGCAAATATATTCGTTGGATACTGTGAATCCTTGATCAATGAGTCGATGTGGCCTAAGGTATACGTTCGTTTCGTCGATGATTCTTTTACATATTTTGATTCCGTTGAGCAATGTGACACATTCTTTCATCATCTAAACAACCTACACCCAGCGCTTAGATACACATGTGAGCATGAGCATGACAACAAACTCGCCTTTCTGGATGTGCAGGTAGAAAAATCTAATAACAGCGTCGTAACATCAGTCTACCGAAAGCCCACTTTCACTGGGCAGTACATCGTCTATGATTCATATTGCTCACATCAATACAAAGTGAACCTGGTACGTAACCTGGTGGGGAGAGCAAAGCGGCTCTGCTCTGAAACGAAGCTCAACGACGAGCTGGAATTTCTCAGATCAATATTCCTTAAGAATGGATACCCACATGACTTATTGAACAAAATACTGAAGCAAGAATCTAATAACAAAGATACATTCACAGGTCCTCGGAAGTGTCCTATCTACTTATGCCTGCCTTGGAAAGGCAACGCGTCTGTCAGCATGTCCAGAGCTATCAAGACCCTAGTCAATAAAACATACTTTGCTGCCCACTTCATCCCCGTGTTCACCACGGTACGTGCGTTCATGGTGAGGAAGGATGTCCTACCTCCCCAGCTTTCAAGCCATTTGGTTTATCTCTTTGAGTGCCGGAATTGTGCTGCCCGGTACGTTGGTAGGACTCTTCAACACCTGAACGCACGTATCAGACAACATGTGCCGTTGCACTTATTACCACCAGCAGCCAGAGCAAAGAGGCCAAAGCGTGGTAGACCGTGTAAGAACCCAGTTAGCTCAGTAGACAAACACGCTGTGCCGACAGCGCCGCCTGTTCCCGTGCCACCACCGGCCCCACCACCTGGGGTGCCGTGGGTGGCTGGGGCTGGGGTGGGTTTGCCATCATTGACCTGGCCACCACTTCTCGACCCACTGCAAACGGCAGCGGAGCCTACTCTAGCACAACATCATCGTCCTGGAATGGAGGAGGGGCCACCGAGACACACTGAACCTTCACCTCGGCAGTTGCCCTTGCCTCCGCCTGAGCCACCCCCTTTACCTTTGGTGACTACCGAGACGGTGGTCCCCCCGGTGCTGGGATCCACGGTGCCGACTGTGTCTGGACAGAGAGGGAGATCATCGACAAACCAAAATGAAACCAATATCCTCACCCATAGACCCAGAAGAAGCACAGCAAACTATTCACTTGAAATTTATGCACGGAATGGACTTGGTCCACGCAAAATGGACAGTGGAAATGGGTGTGCAGTAGCAGAGAACCCAGCAACGGTGACGCGGAGCAGCGGTCAAACGACTTGTGATGCTGGTGGAGATGATGGAGCCATGTTGGAGGCTGATAAGGAGTGCAGTGAGACTGAGCATCAAACGGATGATGAGGAAGTGACTGATGATGATGATGGTGGTGATGAGGACGATGATGATGAAGATGAGACGGAGGACGAGGATAAGGCGGAGGAGGTCGAAGGAAAGGAGCGGGATGAGACGGAAGAGAGCGACGTGAGCAAAAAGTCAGCTGTATTTTGTCACTTGTTATCACGTCCAGATTGTCTTGTTGTGTACGATGATTCTCACTTTTCTGTTTTGTGCCGTGCAAGTTATGTTAAGCAGTTGAAGGTTCTGGAAGCTGTATGTATTCGTGTGCATAATCCTGTTCTTTGTAAACAAAAGAAGCATGTAGTCGCGCTAAAGTTGTTCTCGTAGCTGGTTATCAGATGTAAATGTTGTGTCATGTTGCACTGTATCACCTCTTGCTTTGTGGCTGCACTCAGTTATATACGTTAGCACTATGTTTGACACCTATTATGTAATGCTGTAGCACTTCCTTTGTTGTTCACACTTTTAATTAATTATGCTGTTATAAAATGTTCTATTGTTGTACACAGTACCCTCAGTTCCGATACTATTCACTGATGAGCGGAACACGAAAATCGATTTTGAATAACATAAAAATCCTTAAAAATTCCATGAACTCGTTGTTGTCTGGCCATGTCTGCATCGATTATACTCCTAATTGCACTAATAATAATAATAATAATAATAATAATAATAATAATAGCACATTTCGCGTAGTAGAGCACTAAATAAAGAAATTCAGTGTTTTTTCCGCTTCTGTCTTGTGAGCATCATCAGCTAGGTGTAGTAGCTGCTGATACCGATTTCTCGCCGGGTGTCGAGCTGCACAGTTTCCTCCAGTCTGTCTTGTCTGCTGCTTGTTGTCGGCACCTGGAAAGGTCTTCCATGGTCTTCATTGGCACACCCAGCTTATTCAGCTGAGCAACCAGACTTGTGGCCAGTGTCAACCTTGGCCGTCCACGAGGTGCTTTGTTGCCCTTGTCAAAATAGCCGCTCATGGCTACTTGCGGTGGCGTGTCCGTGTCCATCCGTAGCACATGACCGGTCATTCAAAGTCGCCTACATGCAACTGTGTCTGATATAGGGTTGCTCTTGGTTCTGCGGTATAGGTCGTCGTTTGAAATTGTGTCTGGGTATCGTATTCCAAGGAGTGATCGCATTTGACGCCGGTGGAATGCGTCTGCCTTGGCCATTGCTGTTGACGACAATCCCCAGGTCTCGCAATTGTACAGGAATGTCGGCAGTACGATAGCGTTGTACAGGCGTAAGCGTGTCTTCTCCGCTACTTTATCTCTACGCAGCCATAGGGCGTACAGCTGGCCAAACACGCGAGAGGCAAGTTCCATCCTGCGCCGAACATCCTCTTCCTCCCCCATCAAGGAGCCAAGCTGCCTAGATGTCCGCGAGCTCTCGGATTCAGGTGACACACGGATCCACTCTGTTTTATCTGGATTTACTTTTAATGACCAATCGTGCAGTGTGTCTGCTATTACAGGCAGAGCATTCTCAAGCCACAGCCTGCAGGTTGAATAATAGGAGATGTCATCTGCATAACCCGTCTCTGGTGGTAGACTTGCGTCGCCAGTAGGGCGGGGCGCGAGACGAGTTCTGCATTCCTGTAGTGCAGCCTCCAGATAGCAGATGAAGAGAACTGGGCTGAGACTGTCGCCTTGTGGTGTTCCAATAGTGCTCTCAAACGGTTCAGCTGTGGCACTTGCAACCTTAACAGTGATAGTTGTGTTGTGGAGAAGGTGGTGGATGAGACATGTGCAATCTGGATTGGTGATTGCAGACATCACCTCCAGCAGCTTCAGGCGGTTAATCGTATCGAAGGCCTTGGACATGTCCAGGCCTAGAATGTGAAATTGCTGTCGGTAACGAATGGCTCTTGCAGCGATCCACCGCTGGGTCCATACCACGTCCGCTGTACTACGGCCCGGGCGGAAGCCGGACTGTGTAGTACCAAGATGACGAGAGAGTGCCCCGGATTCCATGATGCGCCGAAGCACAATGATCGATATCACTTTGCGGATAGAGTTTAATAAAGTGATGGGCCGCAGACTGGTTACAGGACCCTTGGGCTTGTTAGGCTTAGCGAGAGGTATGAGTATTCCTGGTCCAATAGCCGTCGATAAATTGGCACCCTGCGAGAGCGCAGCGTTGACGAAATTTGCTATGACCGGCGCTAGCACCTCGGATCCATATTTCAGGAGCTCTGCTGGGATTTTATCTGGACCACAGGCCTTCCCGTTTTGCAGGCGCTTGAGGGCAGTGGCGACTTCAGATTCGGAGATGGGAGTGGCGAGAGAGTATGGTGATGGCGGTGGTATTTCACCTGCTGTTTTGGCACTGAATTGTGAGGAGAAGTGATCTCGAACTCGACTGGCCTTGTCTGTGGCATGAGCAAGAATACATCCATCAGCTCGCTCGACAATCAATGGTTATCGTTGTCCACTACCACTCTTTAGCTGCGCTGCTGCAGTAAACATCTGAGCAGATGTAGGTGCCTTTTCAACCCGCTCTGCAATCCTATCCAGGCGTTCCATGGCATCGCTGCGCTGAATATTTCTGATCTGGTGCATGATGCAGTTCCGTTCCCTCTTTAGCTCTTCTGGATTGTGATGGCCTGATTGCTGAAGTAATCTGATTTCCCGTTGGCGCCGTGAGAGGGTTTCAACCTCTGGATTAGGTACACAAACCCTGCGTGAACCGCTTCTGTGCATGCGTCCAAGAGTGCTCTCTGCCACGTCCATGACCGCTTGCGCTGTTGAGTCCCAGGTACTGATCACGGAGCCACTGTCAGATGACCCACAAAATGCAGGTTGTTCACGCAGTTTCTGGCAGAGGCTGGACTGATATTCCTTACGGACGTCAGCGTTTTCTAGTCTCTGGATTGCGATGGGAGCAGCGGCCTTGCCTGCTGCGGCAATGTGTACACGGTATAGACCAGTCAGTTCCATGTCCGCAATGACTATTTTATGATCGCTGAATGTCTCGGTTCCAGCATACGAACGAGCTCTCACAACTAGTGGCTTGTAGCGCTTTGGGATCACGATGTAGTCAATCATGTTGTGGATCATTTTCCTGAGGCCATCAGGGGATGCCATGCATCCAGTCCATGTGGTTCTATAGCGCATTGAGTAGCGGAAGAGCGTATTAGCCAACACCAGATGATGCATGTTAGCCCACTCTACCAGCGCTTGACCATTGTCATTTTCTTACACCTTTGCCATATTGACCCACACACGCTGCTTCACCTGCTCCGACCTTGCTGTTAAAATCACCAAGCCCAATCACGAGTGTTCTTCCACTGCACTTGTTCCAGGCTGTGGACAAGGCGTCAAAGAACCTTTCACGAACCTCAGGATTACTCTGCGCTGCTGGGTTTGTGGGGCCATATGCCACGACGAAACGAACAGGTAAGGTATTGCCCTTGCCTTGCGGAATGGAGAGGTCGACAGTTCCGACTCGGTCGGAAATTTTTTTGAATGTTGATACAAATTTGTTGAGCATGTTCGATATGACAAATCCATTACCTCCATGCCGGCCCTCTGCTTGACCGAAGCTGACAAACCGATGCGAATCACCGAGAGGCTTATCGACGGTCGTTGTCATTTTGAGCTCCTGAAGTCCGCAGAAATCAATACGATAGGCGTCCATGTCACGAGCTAGTTGCTGTTGCTTCGACGCAGAACAAAGTCCGCGCACGTTGAACGTGGCGAAACGAAACCCCCGGGGTATCATTTTTCAGAAGAGTTATTGAAAGTTGTTGAAACGTTAGATGTCACAAGCTTTGACAGTCAGGTAAGAAGGAGAAAGAAGAGAAGAAGGAGAGAGAGAGAGAAAAGAAAGCTAGGCAGTCAGCCTAACACCGGGAAAGGGCTATAGGGGGGTACTAAGTCATTGGGGAGAACTTACTTACGGGAAATACGGTATATGTACAGTATAGTGAGGGGAGGGGAAAGTGTATGAGATTTCAATCCTCAGTCATCATCCAGTCATCCTCAGTCATCATAAATGTTGGGTTAGCTTTTGGGCTAACCCTAGTTAGCGATAAGACCGATGCGCTGCTCTCTATCTCATGCTAGCTGCAATCGAGCTGGCTTTACACGTGCACTCAACTGCTGCGCATGCGCGCCCAAATCGCCTTGGGTAGCTCTTGCTGCGCTGACTTTGGCTTGCGCTTTCCTTTGCAGTGTCACTGAGCAGCAACCGGAATTTGTTTGAACCGGAATTTGTTTGTTGAGAATAGAATTAATTATTCAGACTCCTTGTAGATTCCTCGCAGCCGTTTACTGCACGACAAACATGTTGTCTACCTCTGAAGCACGCCGTATGAACGTGTCGGACTTGCGGGCCGAGCTGGAAGGCCGTGGGCTGAATTCGAGCGGAACAAAGCCCCAGCTTCTTGCCCGTTTGCTGCTCAGTATCCAGGACACATCGAGCTCGGCGGCACGGGAACCTCGATCTCCGTCGGCCACGCCATCCTCGCGGCAGGAGCACGAGCAGGAGCAAGAGCAGGATCTGGAGAGTGCTGCAGCAGCTTCTCCGACTCCCCAGATCCCGGACCGGAGCAGTAATGACGATTTGCGCCAGTTTGTGCGGCAGGAAGTACATTCCGCCGTCACCGTTGCCTTGTCGGAGGCGATCGCTCCAATGCTGGCCACCATCACTGCCCCTGGATCCGCTGGAACTCAACCTTCGGCGGAGTCTTCCAACGCTGGTAATCTCTCCGTTCCCCAGACTATACGAGAGAAAATATTGAAGGGTGACTTTGTAGATTTCACCCAGCTGCTGCCCGATACTATCGCCACCTCGTATTCTGCCCCACGCCAGCTTCAGCTGCAGTTCAGCAGTGGCGGCCAGTCTCTGGAGGTGGTGGAAGGTGGAGCGGCGCAGCCCGTTCGTCGACGCGTCCACGACTTGCCGACATGGCTGGAGGCATGGACTCTCTTCATGAACGTCGTGTGTTCTGCCAACCCGTCCCGCCTGCAGGAGATGCTCTCCTACCAAGCCACCATAGTTGCAGCCAACAGGCAATACTATCCGGAGGCTTGGCTGTCGTACGACACCCAGTTTCGCTCTGCCATTTCTGCTCAGCCAGGCAAGCGCTTTGACGTCATCGACATAAATCTGTGGCAAATGTCCGTGACTAGCCGATCAAGGCCCACATGTGAGTCCTGCCGCCTCATCCATCCCGGAGGCGGCCAGTGTCCCTTTCGTCCGCAACGTAACAACCAGCAAGCCTTCAATGGAGTCCGTACGGTGTCTAATGGCCAACCGATCTGCCGGAACTTCAACGCTGGGCGTTGCAGTCTCAGCACGTGCAAGTACGCCCATGTCTGCAACCGCTGCGGGTCCAAGGACCACAACGGATCTAAGTGCGGTAGGCGCCAGTAACTCTGCTGCTTTGGCTGCAGCTCCCGCGATTGTACATATTTCTCCCTGCACTTCACGTTCTACTGATTTCACAAGCGCATGTCCTGCTGTCCACACACCCCTCTCTGTTTCTCGCTTCGAATCACTGCTCCGTAACCACCCTGACAGTTCATTGGCTTCGTATGTTATTAACGGCCTCCGCTGCGGCTTTGACATTGGCTTTACCGGCAACTGCATAACTAACCAGCACTCGTCCAACCTCTCATCAGCATTCCAGCACTCTGCATTTGTGTCTGCACAGCTCACCGCTTCCTGCAACGCCGGCTACACGGCTGGCCCATTTGACTCGCCCCCATTCCCGTTTATGTACTGCTCTGGCATTGGCGCTGTTCCGAAAAAGAATGGCAAGCTACGCTTGATACACCACCTGTCCAGCCCTGCCGGCTCCAGCGTTAACGACGGGATCCCTGCCGAGCCTTTCTCTTTGCAGTACATCAGCATTGATGAAGCCATTAACATCATTATGTCCTCCCCGTCTCCTGTCTATCTCTCTAAACTCGATGTGAAGAGTGCTTTTCGTCAAATACCTGTCCGCCCACAGGATTGGCATCTCCTCGGCATCCTGTGGCAGGGGAAGTACTACTACGACCGTGTCTTGCCATTTGGGCTCCGCTCTAGCCCGGCGGTATTTGATGCAGTGGCAGCCACCATCGAATGGATAATGCACCACGAATTCTCCATCCCTAATTTGCTGCATTTCCTGGACGACTACTTGTGCGTGAGCGTGGGCCAGGCTGTGGCGAATCGGCAGCTGGCCATTCTTCTCCGTGCATTCTCATACCTCGGAGTCCCGCTCGCGCCTGCAAAGGTGGAAGGCCCGTCTCGTACCCTGACATTCCTGGGCATTATCCTGGATTGTGAGAAGATGGAAGCCCGGCTCCCTGACGACAAATTGGCCGACATCAAGCGCCTGTTGACTGCAGCGAGCATCAACCCCACCATGTCTCAGCGCGAACTCGAATCTCTTCTGGGGAAACTCTCCTTCGCTGCAAGAGTCATCGTACCCGGCCGGACATTTATGCGGCGCCTGTGGTCTATTTGCAGTCGCTACCAGCAGCCTCACTACCGCATCAGTCTGACTACCGAGTGCCAGGAAGATATCCAATGGTGGCTACGGCTCCTGGAACAATGGAACGGAAAATCATTCTTCCTGTTCCCAGATTGGACACCATCTCCAGACTTGGAGCTGTTCACTGATGCCAGTGGCACCCTGGGCTGGGGCGCATTCAACAGCGGCCGCTGGCTTCAAGGGACCTGGTCGCCTGAGCAACTCACTCACAGCATTGAGTGGAAGGAGCTCTACGCGTTGGTCACAGCGTGCTGCACGTGGGCCAAGGAATGGCGCCAGCTTCGTATCACAATGCACTGCGACAACAAGGCTGTGGTAGATTGCATCCGCTCCGGCACATCCAAGTCACCGCCAGTGATGACCCTGATCAGGGAGCTGTTCTTTGTGTGCGCCCGCTTCAATTTCACCGTCACTGCTGCTCACATTGCTGGCCAGTCAAACTGCATTGCCGATTCGCTGTCTCGTTTCCGCATGGAGGAATTCCGACGTCTCGCCCCAGCTGCTCAAGCACAACCAGACCGAGCAGTGCTGCCATTCCAGTCGATGTAATATAGCCTTGACATACAGGTACCGATTGTCATTGCTAAATTGCCGTATTGAGAACCTGCGTTGGATTTCATCCATCTGCATGCCTACCTTTATCCATCTCGTGCCTTAATCACTTGTTCTTAGCTCTCGTGCATTGGTGGTGAACGCTTGCTGGGGTGCCGTGTGCTGGTTTTCTGGGAACAGCTTCCTTCAACTGGTTGCTTTGCTGCTACTATCTCTGCTTAAAATTGCATACTATTGGTCGGCTGTTTGCGACGCCAATCAGTAGTCATTGCACCCGGTCGCGGGTACTATTGCCGCTCAAGCATGAGCGATTGCTTTGGCCGTTTGCAACGCCAACTGCTTCACCCTGGTTGGCTGTTTGCAACGTCGATCAGGGAACTTTGCACCCGGTCGCGGGTACTGCTGCAGCTCAGTCGTGAGCGATCACTTTGGCTGTTTGCAACGCCAATCGCTTCACCAGTTGATCGAAACCAGCACACTGGTGTACCCCAATCATCCTTGTGCGGTGTTGTGAGAATACGTGGGTATGCATGCAGCTTTGCTCTGTGACTTTCCATTGCATGTAGTCACTTGGCTCTCCCATTTCCTATACACTGCTCTGATGCATTCGGGTGCAAGCGCTAAATGTTGGGTTAGCTTTTGGGCTAACCCTAGTTAGCGATAAGACCGATGCGCTGCTCTCTATCTCATGCTAGCTGCAATCGAGCTGGCTTTACACGTGCACTCAACTGCTGCGCATGCGCGCCCAAATCGCCTTGGGTAGCTCTTGCTGCGCTGACTTTGGCTTGCGCTTTCCTTTGCAGTGTCACTGAGCAGCAACCGGAATTTGTTTGCCACCCACCCTCCCATTCCCACATTATATAGGTGGGAACAGCTTCCTTCAACTGGTTGCTTTGCTGCTACTATCTCTGCTTAAAATTGCATACTATTGGTAGGCTGTTTGCGACGCCAATCAGTAGTCATTGCACCCGGTCGCGGGTACTATTGCCGCTCAAGCATGAGCGATTGCTTTGGCCGTTTGCAACGCCAACTGCTTCACCCTGGTTGGCTGTTTGCAACGTCGATCAGGGAACTTTGCACCCGGTCGCGGGTACTGCTGCAGCTCAGTCGTGAGCGATCACTTTGGCTGTTTGCAACGCCAATCGCTTCACCAGTTGATCGAAACCAGCACACTGGTGTACCCCAATCATCCTTGTGCGGTGTTGTGAGAATACGTGGGTATGCATGCAGCTTTGCTCTGTGACTTTCCATTGCATGTAGTCACTTGGCTCTCCCATTTCCTATACACTGCTCTGATGCATTCGGGTGCAAGCGCTAATTATAATTATACTACTATTAATAGAGCAAGGATCATCCTTGATCCTTGAAGGGTGGTGGCGTTCCTACAGATGCGGAAAACTCGGTTTACAGCCGAGTCTCACGCGAACCGTGAATTTCTTTTTTTTAAATAGAGCAATGAGTGGTTTACACACTCTCGCGAGTAGCACGCGGGGACTGGGAGGGGGAGTCGTTCAAGAGCAAACCGGAGGTGTGGTGGAGAAGGACGATGTAACTGTTGTCTCAAGACTCAACTGGAGGGTGAGTCAGAACCAATTCCCCTTTTTTATTTAGTGACGGTGGTTGTGAAACTAATCTCCTCACCCCCACCATTGCGCGATACATCTGCCACTAGATTTACCGGGTGTTAGCGTCCGTCGTGAGTTCACTCGGGAATGGACACGATAATTTACTTTTGTTTAGGGGCTTCAAGAGCCCTACTTCGGTATACCTACAATAAGGTGAATCTATTGGGTGTTTTATAGCCTAGGGGTCTACAGCTTTTGGGTACTGCCCAACTGTGCTGTTTGCCAGTCGAGGGTTTTCCTGCCGTACATTTCCTGCCATCCTTATCATCTGCACCATACGATAATGACGTGTGAATGTGCACACGTACATGCAGTTATATGCACCTGTCTATAAAAGAGAATCTTCAGCAAGCTGCAAAAATCCCAGGCCCTGAACGACGAGACAGACCTCATTTTAAACTAAGTAAATACACATTCGAGATCCATTCAAAATGCAAGCATGTAAAATGGGGTTCACATCAAGTGTAGTTTAAGATATGGTCAGGAATACTCTAAGGTTACATGAAGTGTCTAAGTGTTCGACAACATCAACCCATAGTTATGAATAAACCGTGCCCAGCCTATAATATAAGAAAAATTGCATTAAAAATCTTAATCTAGCTATTCATAAACTTGAGGGAGAGTTGTAAACGGTAAAATCTAGCTAAGCCGTACATCTGTAAAATACGTACTCAAAGATAAGCGGTATGTGCAGGACAAATGTAAGTCCTCCAAACGCTGACTTACAAAGTGAAGGGCGGGAGTGGGGGGTTGTTCGAGCAGAGTGCTTACATGTGCTAACGCTAGTCGAAAGGACAATCACTAGAACCCAGTGAAGACATAGCCGAGGAGAGAGAACATAGAGCAAAGTTAACAAACCAGACAACAACAACAAAACACCCAGGTTGCTATGGTTGTGATGACAAAAGATGTAGAGAGCATAAACGTAAGAAAACCTGAGGCATTCGGAAGGATTTTCTAAAATGTGAATACCCTCTGCCGCCTAAAGAGTCAACTGTCGGTAACCTGAATCCGGGAATTAGTGATAACCTGGACCTCCTGTTTCTGCCACAGCAATTGACGTCGGCTGTGAAGACTCTGGAGAAGCTTTCTGGCTTTTGGCGATCAAATCGTTTGCAGCCGAAGATTCACCAATATCTCGGAACGCCTGGATAAGATGAATTACCTTGTCATGTTTCTTAGTCAACTGCTGCCAGTCATCCAAGAGCTTTGCCATCCTCTCTTTGGTGCTGTCACAGTCCTTCTTGAGTTCTGCAATCTGGTTGCCTGCATTGGCAAATGCAGGGGCGCCCGTCGCAGCGTTCTTCAGTCCACGTGCCAGGATCTCCCATGATGCTGAATGATGAGCTATCAAGCACAACCGATGGTCCTGGTCAAAACTCCAGTTCGGATCGACATAAATTATTTCGTGACCAGCCCCTGCAACAGCCTTGCTTGATCCAGCTGCAGCCTGGGCCGGGGAAGTCCAATCAGATGCATCAGCCCCTGCACAGCAAGTAGCAGAAAACATCGGGCCGAGTACAATCATAAGGAAGAAAAAACAACAATTGGAAATATCCAATAAAGAATTTCTGTCACCCAGGTAATCTTATTTATGTAACCATCCCAGAACGGAAACAGAAGAGACCCTGTACGACATGTACGGCATGATTCAAGGACAAAAGCTGAGACCACCAGTACAAGGTCACACCAATATTCTGTCTATGTTTCGCTTTCCGCTCCACGTGATCAAAATACTTGAGTCAATAAAACAACCCCGTGTGGTAATTCATACGTGAAAATGCGTTCTGCCGTGTACAGAGACCACTTTGTTGACTGAATGTGCCACATGCATTTACTAGCGCACGTTGAACCACAGCTACGAGCGCAGTCAAAGGTTGCAGACAGATTCGTAGAGTGTGCTTCTGCAATTGCGGATATTATACTACTCGTATCAAGAGTACAGAACCCTGTGCTCTTAGCAGCACGCATCCCAGGACATGCAGTGCCACGTGGTCACCATACTCTGCATTGATTTTACAGATAGACATACATGTGCAGTAAAACCTGGTTTAAGCGACCACCCCACGGTGCAAGCAACAGCGGTCGTTAAAGACAGGTGGTCTTTAGAACCAGGTCCCACAGTTTCTGTGTAGAACTGTCCATGCATGGGGAAAGGGTCGTTAAGATCAGGTGGTCGCTAAACCCAGAGGTCGCTTACACCAGGTTTTACCGTATGTGCTGATGTGGGATACATTTGGTGCACATGCGGTAGACATGTGTTGTACCTGTGGTGTGTTTGTCATGTTGTATACATCTAGAATAAATAAGCTCCGAAGAGTGTGCAACTCTGCATATGGGGTCTCCGAAGGCGAAAACTCACATCACGTGTCTCAGGTACATTTCGTACTGCGAACAAACGAAGGATGGCGTGCGCGCAATCCGAATATCTGCCATGACTATGCTGGCGAGTTGCACATGCGCAGTGAGTTTCTGTCAGAGATTACTTTTTTATTACTCCCCGTGCTCGGTAAAAACAGGCTGGAAACGTACAACTGGAACACTACACCATGTGAAGTGAGTTTTCGCCGTCGGCGAACCCCATAGAAAGGGTGTCATGAGTTCCACACTCTTGGGAGCTAAGATTATACTCTTGGTGGTATACATATGGTGTACATATGGTGTGCATGTGGTGTACATTATGGTGTACATATGGTATACATATGGTATACATATGGTATACATATGGTGTACATATGGTGTACATATGGTGTACATGCCGTGCATATGTGGTGTACCTAAGGTATACATGTTGTACACATGTGGTGTAGAATGTGGTGTACACATGTGGTGTAGAATGTGGTGCGCATGAACGTACACTTGCACTTGGATCATGTATTATGGCTGTTTGATTTATACAGGGGCGTCAGAACCGCTGCTGCAGGTGCGGCCAAAGCCGCACCAATAATTTCATCCTATGATTGTTAATGAAGCAATGAAATATGGGCCATTTGGGCCCAATTTCCCTACAATTCTCCCGAAGGAGGGCTCCAGGCTTTCCATAGTCGCACCAATGTAGAACACCTGATGCTGCTGCTATGGTATTGACCCCAAACATGGAGAAAGACAATGGGGAATGATTTTAATCATTCCCCATTGTCTTTTTTCATGAGAACACCAGCCAGGGTCTATTGAAAATACGCAACAGATTGCTTTTTGTCAGTTTTTGATACACTGTCAAAGGCCGAATTAGCGTGGACACACTTTGGGAAGACCTTTGTCTAGTGTGTTCCATGTACAATCTTAGCAATTATTACTAACAGCCACGTGAGCAAAGAGAACATACCTGAAACTGGCACGCCGATGGATTGATCGCTAGCTGGAACTGGCTCACTTTCCCCCTACACATTGTACAGAAAGAACAGTGACAAGGCAAAGCGTTGACGGAAATTCAGAAGTTAATACAGCCTGGCACAATGCACAGTCAATATCTAAACAGCAACTTCAAGTTGCGCTATTGTAAAGTCACCCATTATCACAACGCGGTGATCGGAGCAGGTTCTGGAGGATAACAGTGACTACAGTCCATTCCTAAAAAGGTGGGCCCTGGCTCCGGCGAGCTCCTGTATTCGCCGGCTTTTTTGTGATTGTATTGTACACAGTGCAGTGCTGCGAAATTTGAAAAGGGTCCAAAAAGGGTACCGGAACTGGGGTTCAAACGGCCCAATGTACCGTTACAGGGGGAGTCAAACGGACTGGAATTTGATGGTTTTTGCCAATTCAGTGCTTTCGGGGCAAAACCTGGCCGAAATACTATTCTTGTTAGGGCTTGATCTTAGGAGAAGTAGACTTCAGAAAAATAATATTGGAAGAGGATTCCGTAGGGGATTGCAGAAAGCTTTTATGAATGGACTGAAATGGAACGTATCCGCCGGCGTCAATTCAACTTACGATATAAAGGGTAAAATATTTAATTATTGTACCCAAGTCTAGAGTGGCCTATCATACAGAAAATAATTTCGCATAATTATGTGAACATGCGTCACGTGGTGATGCTTACAGTATGAAACGTACACGAGCATGGTATGCAAGATCACGCAAGAATTTTTTCGTATACGACCATTGCCACTGCACGGAAATTCTACCATGCACCGAGATCGGAGTGAACGAAACCAATTCTACCCGTAATACCTTCTAACGCACTCACCACATACATCTTCAGGTTCCAAACCAGTCAAGGTCACATGGATAGCAGTGCAGAAGAGATAGAAGAATAAGATTGGATGAAACTCAAATATTACCTATCCGTCAAAAACCAAATTCAACAATACTACTCCACCAATTTGTGCTGCATTAGAATTAGCAAAGGACACCTCTGAAATGCCAGGACACGCCAGTGTGTTCACTTCTAACTGCTTTCAATCCAGTTGCTATGGCCTCTGTAATGGGACACCTGAATACCACACTTGCACAGGACAGCGATGTCAGGTGCCTACATTGTCTGCAGCTGAAAGGTTAGACGGCACGATAAATAGAGAAAACAACAGCTTCATGGTTTATCCCCAGTCATATTAAGGGACTCAGTTTCATCAGCAAGATACATATCTGGTAAAATACCGTAAAATTCCGTTAATAGACACCCTTAGCAAAAAACGTTATGTTGTAACGGTATTATCGTAAGGGGGAAAATACCGTGATTTGGGTTCGACCTTTAGCAAGATGCACGCTATTTTTAGTACGCTGTTGCCACGAGAGTAGCTTCGATTTCGCGCGGTACAACCATTTTTGTCACCATATACGCGATACAAGGTGAAATGCGTACGGACTATGCAATATTTGGCCAAAACACGTACCGTTGGTCACAACGATAAATCAGCCCCCATAACGTTTATACGCTGCAGCTTCAACGCTATTTGGGTGATCAAGGTACGAGTACCGTAAAAAATAGCGTTACCGTTGTTTGCTAAGGGTGTCTAATAAGCCCCGGGCGTATACTTTGCAGAGCGTCAAAAACCGGGCGTATATTTGGGCATGGGCTTATTTCAGGGCATAGCGTTATTTCGGACGCAATCTGCAGAAGATCAATCTATCAGCAACCCACTAGTTTCAGTGAACCACCATTCACACTGAGCGCGGTACAGGTACATCAAACCACAGCTGGAAATTTGGTCGTAACCAAGAATGTAGCGATAAATTACACATTATTTTGATAGGTAAACCACTTGCTATGGTAAGTACAAGGCACAACAGGTACCGCCATGGCTGAAAACATCGTGACGCTGAAGCAGGCAAGGCAGAAAACTAGATGACACTGCGCTCGCGCGCTGGTCATTTTGAGTCCACTTTACGCCCTGGGCGTATTTCGGGCATGGGCGCTAAAACGGACTTGAAGTGTACACCGCCTAAAACTGGGCTTACATGGGCGTTATTTAGGGTGGGCTTATTAACGGAATTTTACGGTAGGGTATGTAAGTCTGTATAATTACAAGTTCAGAAAAATGCAACCCGTAAATCTCAGTGTCAAGATGCAAACTCAGTCAGAGTGTAAGACTGCAATCACCGATTCCAAAATACATCAAACTTGACGTAGAGACGTTCTCATTTTAGGCCAAAGACGTAAAGCTGCCCACTCTGGCGCATGTGACGTTATATACATCATGTACTTCCAGTTCACAGCTTCTACACAGAATTTGCCTTCTACACAACACAGCACTTTCTAAATGAATTTGCTAAGGCCCAAACAAATAATATCCTTGTTTCGGGTCGGCCTACCAGGTCATTCTCGCTCCACATATACTGGCATACACAGAGACATAGACAGCAATAGCGACAACACACAAAGTGAAGGGTAGTTGGCCTTGTTTCGGGTCGGCCAACCAGGTCATTTTCTCCCCAAATTCCGAAACTTTTTCTGGTCCCCATATAATGTCCGATAGATGCCTGGGAGCCTGTAGGAAGCTGGCAAAACCGCTACTCTTCATCATACATGCATGCGTGCAGCGTGGCTACATCACGTACTAGACATCAACACTGTCAGGTCTACACAGTCTGGATGAGTAAGCTGTGATAATGAGTCTTAATGACTGACATGATCCTTTTTTTTCACGGTTCGCGTAAGATTCGGCCAAAGGCCCAGTTTTCCGCATCCGCAGGAACGCCACCACCCTCTTGGATCAAGGCGCAGATGCAGCTCCTAAACGGTGGGAGGTGAGTAGATCAGACCCACCACAAAGTGGTCAAAGAATGAAAATCCCATTCACTGCATCCATGTTTCCCTCGTGCCAGGCCACAAGTTCCCAATTAACTGTGGGTCGCAGCACGGCTGGAAAAAATCCTTCCGCTTCCAAGCAGGACTCGAATCTGGTACCCTCTGTTTATCAATCATGGTCTTACTCTTAGACCATCCCACTATGCCTGCCTGCATTGATCCATACCATGTGCATATTATATGCACATGTACATTTGAGTACCAACGAAAAAATGAAGAAGAAGAATAGGCAATTTGTTGTACTATCGGTCTAAGCATTAGCCTCACCTCAAGAGCACGTTTTATGCCAAAGATTTTTTCTTCGCATTTGAGCAGATTCATGGTACGCAAGTGTTGGAATAATTTCTCAGTGCTGGCTTCACCTTTCACCCTCCACTGGTTGAACATCTCCTTCAGCCAGAGCTCATCTGTGTACTCTCGCCCTCGCGGTAGTTTACTCTCCACTCGTAGCTTCCCAGAGCCTTCTATGATGCCAGCCACCGTCAACTCTGCAAGAGATATCATGTCCTGCTTGACCAAGACTTCTCCGGCGAGGAAGCGGGTGAACTTCCAAAGTGCCACATCGCTCGTCTGCCACTTTGATATGCTGTACCCAAACAAGAAGCACGCACATTTTTTTATCCAAAAAGAACACACTCAGTCCAAGAACTTAGAACACCTTGGCAGCAGCAGCAATTCCTACCAGTGGTGGCTCACTACTCATAACATTAGTGACATAGTTAAAGTAAATACCATATCTATTGCAGAAGGCATAATTATTTAGACCAGAAAACAACTTTACGTTGGTTCAAGTGTAAACATAAGAGTGAGAGCTTGTGTCTGCACTGCTTCGCTAGTTCCTCTACACCATACGAGTATTTTTAAAAGACTTTCGTCTCAGAGGATCAATCTGTACTGGCCTTGAAATAATTCAGCTTGTGCTCACAATATTTTCACTAGCATACACTGCCCTCCTGCAATGTTGGACTTACTGATGGTCATGGTCTTTGGCAAGATCTACCAGCAGAAACGGTGGCAATGAACATAGAGAAAACAGGAAACAGAATACAATTATTAATAATGGTATGTTTTCTGATGTCATATCATTCTCACTGCCAATAGTCCTTATTTTAAAATGATTATAATGACAATGGTAGGTCTGGAACTCGCACCATCACAATTCCACTCATCCCTACGAATTCCATAGTATTTCACTATTTGCCACTCATTCACCCGCAGAGTGGACTGTAACAGTGAGATTCTGAAATGCACTGATGGTACGTCATACATGTAACTATAGACCTGATCCGCTGCAAATGACCACTTCGCAGCAAACGCCCACCCCAGCGGGTCCATACTATTTTCGTCTTTTTCAGGTCAATATAGTTGTAGAAAACTGGCTTGAAGGTCGAATGCTTACGAGAACGACTGCAATGCCTACAAACTGCCTATGTCTTACCAAGAGTCCATAACCCCAAGAGTGTGCAACTGGGGTCTGGCTGCTGTAGGCCCACTTTGCGGAGGAATTCCAACATTACGTCATGCCGCTGACAGCTGTACAAAACTCCGCATTCCGCGGTGCTTGGAACCAGGGAGTAGTGCAAGCCCAATGAAAGTCTATGTCATTTTTGACGTAATGTTGGAATTCCGCCGCGCGGATCCCCATGTACAGAGTTGCACACTCTGGGGGTTATGGACTCGTGGTCTTACCAAGAGGCTCTGCAAAAGCGATTGTCATTATCTTGCTGCAAAGAAAAAGCTTCTGTCGAGACTTCCTTTCATACGATGAATGAGTCGTCTTTGTTATCAGTTCGTTCCCCATGTGGTAATGCGGAAGAATCCATCTGGTTTTCAAATCATGAAATTTCTGCAGTACCACAATGTCGCGCTCACAGAACGGAACGGTGATCGTTCTGACGAAGTGTCATTCAACGACTTGACATGTCGCAGTATTGCAGTTGCAAGTCGAACAGAGGGGGGTATGTCAAAGAAGCTACACCTACAAAGTCGCTGCTAACTTGTTAAAAACTCTGAAGTGCTCGAGAAAAACACTTTGCCATTGTGCGTTGCGTGATTTGGAAATGATGGCTTGAAACACCGTCAGAAGTGTATTGTGTTAAATGAACCCTGGATAGGGGAGGATTGCCTTTGGGT